GCCCCTAACCCTAACCCTAACCCTAACCCTAACCCTAACCCTAACCCTAACCCTAACCCTAGCCCCTAACCCTAACCCTAACCCTAACCCTAACCGGGGGCCTATTTGTACATGCGCGGTCCCATAGAAACAGGCCCTTGGTCGACGTATTGGGTCGTGGTTAGAAAAGAAGTGGGGCTTATTTAACCCTTTCATCCGGAGAATAATCCGTGCCTTTTTCTCACTTTTGCATATTTAGGTCTTGAATTTTGTATGTTTGCTAGGGTCCAGAGTGAGGCTGAAAGTGATTGACGGGTCTTTTCCCTGCACGTTTCACATCCCGTGACCCTTAGATGCAACACAGTGGGGACGGGGCGCAACTGCCTCGCTTCAAGTTAATACGGCATGCCAAAAATTGGGTCACATTTAACCATTCGCCCAGGATGATACTTCTTACCCCTTCTGATTTCCCACACTGACGTCTTCTATTTCTTTGATTCCTAACATGCAGAGTCGGGCAGAATATGATTGACAGGTTTTTTCTGTATGATAAGAAAAGTGGAGCACACTGTCGGAAAAAACCTAGCTCCTTAACTTTTGACCCTTAACTCTTACCCCTTCGCCCTAACTTTAGAGGTAATTTAGCCCAAAAGGGTTATACAGAACATGCGTTTTTACACGTAATACAGGCTACTGATCATTTTCTGATAGGTCAAAAAGGGACTTTTCCCGAATGGTACTTTAATTTTTGGGGCAAATCCCCATGCCTTTCGTACACCGTGACACCATATATTTTGTACATGTCCGGAAACTGGGCACAGGAAAATTCCTTATAACAACTACAAAAATAAACATGAGACGTCATAACGATCACAAGCAGACACTCCTCCATTCGTATAAATTTGGTTCCCCTTGGGGTCGCAGTTTTACAAACTTTATACTTCGGGGAAAAATGGCGCAAAGGCCCCATGCATTAATACACATACCCTCTGGCTCTTATCTATACCCAGCCTAAAGGGAGCACCTCACAGGATACAAAGTGGCACAATTCGAAAGCGTACCTCAAGGCGAACAACTTTCTCTCAGACTCCATCCTCGTATCTCGTGCAATATCAAGGTTATGACGTCACTTCTGGTTAATTTTTTAAACAATAAAGAAAAACATAAGAAATTTTTTTGGTCCCAAAAGGTAGACTGTGGCCTGATTCGGATGCAAAATACATCCAAACCTGGATTGCGAGTGATTTTCAGTGATTTTTCAAGGGGTCACCCAAAAAATGGCCCTCGGGGGAAAGGCCATAACTCCATGACCCGTTGACCTATGACCCTTAAACTTTGACATAAGGCAAACAAAGAGTTGCTACACCTTTCCTGAAAGTTCAAAGGTCAAAGCTCACGGGAGTCAAAATACCCTATTTACTGAATTCCTTGGTAAATAGATTATCTGAAACCTAAGTCATTTACGAGTTTAGTCATTCAAAAGTGTTACTGTTTAGAATTTCAGTCAATTAGCAGATTAGATATTTACGTACAGGTAGGTATTGATTACTTTAGATATTCTGAAATCACAAAACATCTGGTTGTAGACTATGGTTATAATGCTATCGGTTGTGCCAGACGGGTTTTATAAAAGTATTACGGAGGGATGGGATGGGTACCAATGGGCCTACTTAAATTACGAAGGTTTTGCACGTTACAATTAAGCTTTCCATATTTAGGCCCTGGCCAATTTTTGTAATTAAAAATAAAAGAGTAGTTACAATAGTCAACAGTATCGCCCGAAGTTCTGTATACGCCTGTACCGGTCAGAAAAATCAGCAACAGCTTTACACACGCTTTCTTCAAACAACTTCTCTCACCTCTGTTTGTTTCTCAGCAGACGGTAAAAGTACGAAAGCCCAATCGTTCCAATGAGGTATATTTTTTTTCAGCCTGATACTTATTCGTTTTAACGAAAGCTCATTCGAAGTAACGAATTACTAATTCGAAATAACAAATAACTAATTCGAAATAACGAATTACTAATTCGAAATAACGAATTACTTCAGCCTCCAGATGGCGCTGTTTTGCGTTGATTCCCATGTGATTCGAGGCATGTGCATCTAGGGTGCTTCCACTAAGTCAATGGATTTCTGCGTGAAAGGTAGCTCATTGTTATTTTGCGATTCCACTTATTTTTAAAATACGACATGCGATATCATTTCAGGAGGGATCATAAAGATATTTTTGTGACTCACGAATTTGGGGCTGGTGTAGTTTCCAGTTCGGGGTAGGCCCTATTCTTACAAAAAACTAACCCCGTCCTGCCTATTTTGGATAAAGGTGGGCGGCTACATTCAGAACTAAGCGCATTTTTAAAATTAATATGTGGGGGTATCTTCAAGGAAAGGCGAATAAAAGAATTCGCGTGGCTAACCAAGAAAAAACTGACACAAAGGGTTTTCCATGGGCGTGTATTTGGTGCAATGCAAATCATCTGTGATTCCAATGGCCATGATATGTCTCTGTTTGGTGTGGAAAACCGAACATTCAAATGTGATACAGATTCGGCTGTGAGAACTTGAATCGCCACTATACTGCAACAAATACGGTTGCAGGCTAGTAAATAGGCTGAAAATTAAACTCGGCTTGCACACTTTTTATGTGCTCAAATTCTCAACGAAATAGAGCATTTTTGTGGTTATTAACTTGAAAATTTGTAGAAAAGACTAGTTTAGGCGACCAAAAGGAATTCCAACTTGTGTCTGAGTGCTAATTGGAAGAAATTGGTGCCTGAAAACGGTCTATTTTTCGGAAAGTGGAGGGCCTACAATATTTCTAATTGGTGAGGGGTTCACGATTACATTATAAGGGTGACCTTCTAGAAAAAATTGACCGTATCTTCAAAAGTAATCAGAAATTTGAGCAGAACATGAAAAATCATAAACGGGCATATTAATCTCATGTGCTTCAGTTCTCGAAAGCCTGAGAAACTTGTGAAATTAGTAATTTGTTATAACGAATCTTAAATCGTTATTTCTGATTAGTAATTAGTTATTTGGAATGAGTTTTGAGGAGTTTTTCTTGGTGCAATGCTTGTGTTGTACCAAATAATTGTAACATGCCTTTTCCCATGACCAACGTAAGCGGCGCCCTTCACCATTTTTTTAGCATGCAACCTGCAGAGTTACACGACATGCACGATAAATGTATCTTCGCCCTGTCGCCCTGCGTGCGCTAAACTTAAAAAAAAGGGTGTCGAGAAAGGGTACTGCAAGGTATACGTTTTCCTTTTATTTCTTCCTTGCTTGTTTTCTTTGCTTTTAAGGAAATGAAGTCCATGATTCGTACAGGCCTAGCGCCTTACGAGTGGAGCGTTAATAGGCCTATTCCTCTTTTTTCGATTTTGGACGGGATCGTAGTTACCATAGGCCCCGAGTACCGTAGGATATGACGATCCCGTCCAAGAGGAATACTAACCCTCCACTCAATTGAGCTAGCGCCTAACCAGAACTGATCTAGGCCTAGGCTATGAACATGTACATCATACATGTTATGTATGACATGTACAGGTGTATGGTGTAGGTGAGGCTGGTTAGTAAATGTTGACTGCAACCAGTAGGGGGAGGGGCCGAGGCCTATTTCATAAAAAAAAATTAAAAGTTACTATTTTACGCGATCTTGCACTTTATACTGGTGAGATTGTATTCATTTTTAAATTTTATGCTTAGAAAAATGAACATACTCTCAGACTGTACACTGTAGGTTAATTGCAAGAACAAATTGAGTTAACAAGGGCTGCCCTTTGCATGTGGATTTGTACCACTACCACCATGGTTGCACATTATCGTAAATACTGCATGGGTGATTTTTACTGTGGGAAAGAAAAAGGTGCAATGTTTAATAAGGCTTATGTCATTTGTGCAGACATGGCAGAGGGTCAATTTTTCTTTTAAATGTCATTTTCAGAGACATTCTAAAGCAGATGTTTTGGACCTGTGGCCAAACATGCCAAACTGAATTACTTGTGACATCATACAAAATGGGCTGTAACTGCACAAGAGAATGTATTGAATTTGATGGAAGACGCTTCAATGTGTTGAGACGACTTGGAGAAGGGTAAGATAACATAAGCAGTTTCAGTAAACAAGTTGTTTAAAGTCAACTTGGTCCCATTCTACATGTACATGTATGTACATGTCACGTACATGTATGTAGGTTTGGGACCAATGTTGCATTGTTCATTCTTTGGGTTACCAGACCTCATTAAATATTAATTTAAAATGACATTCAATCAACATCAAATGAAAACAATTACCAAAATTTGTAAATTAGCATGGAATAAGTACCCTCAACTTATCTTATCGATATTTTGCCTCAATGGCTTATACTGAAATGAATACATGTACTTTTATTGTATCATCCATTTATCCGGTTCGTAAGTCACTTCATCACAAACGATTTGCAGGCTCTCATTGGACAATCACTGAAGTTGTGTGTTAACTTCTGGTTCCATGTAAACGGCGATCAATGCATATGTGCAGTGCATGTGCAGTGGGCATGGTTTAAACTGAAGTGACGTCACACTTACATGTACGAACCAGATGAATATTGCCAATCAGTCCAAGTGACTGCACATGTGCCTTACCTAGAGAACGGACATGCCATGCTACATAATGTACATGTGTAAATGTAATGGTTTATTCAGCTTCCATAAACATAACCTGTTTTTACCCTTGCACACTTGGCTGATCACATTCAACACATTGCATTTGTGCACATTTGACCAATTAATTTGCGTCAAAATTCTGCACAGTGACCTTTCCAGTGGACCTTTCTGATTCAAAGTCATGAAAATTACAAGAAATAATGTAAACTTAGTGTCTGTTGTTTTTTGTTTCGCTTTTCAAAGCAGGCCAGGCTTATTTCTATTTTGTAAGATGGAAAGACATAAAAATGAAAAAGGTGATTTGAACATTGAAATTGAAAGTACTGTTAACAAGTTTGTGGCACGTCCGATTAAAAAGTTACACTTTCCATCTGTAGCCAAAGAATGTGGGCATGGCGTGGTCAACAGAATATAAATATATTATGTAAAAACAACAAAAAGAAATCTGAATTTAGAACCTTCCAGAGCTTGTGAAATTTAATTCCCTGATGAAAAGAATGTCCAGAGTCAGGCAACAATCAATGTCCCAAAAGAATGGCTACATACATGTATTGTTATTTGATTGATTGACAGGTAGGTAGGCCTACGTGTACATGTACGTGATCCAGTGAAAAACCTGCTTTTTACATTGCAAGAATGTAACCTTCACGTACAATCAGTGGTGTAAATCTCTGTCGAAATTGGGAGGGATGGGGAAAGGTGGGGGTTGACTTGCCTAGGCATGAAAATTTGAAAAGTTCTGTAATATGTGTCAGAAGGGCATGTTTATGGCTTTTAAAAATTGTTTTCCCTTTTTGAGTAATATTAAATACATTTTAGTCTTTGGAAGTCTGAAACGTTCTTCACAATCCACTTTACATGTAAGTTTTTGCTCACCACAAAAGAGGAAGAGGGATGATTTAACAGTCAACTCCCCTCCAAAAAAAAGCGGGAGGATATATACCCCCCATCCACCGGGATTTACGCCCTTGCATATACACTGTAGTCAACCATCAAAGGGCAGGGGATTTATAGTCTTTTTTAAGTGAATGTTTATGAGGCACAGTTTGTTCAACTTCCAATCTTTCAGAGGCTTCAGTGTTGTTGATCTTCTTGAGGAAAATGACACGGGTAAGAGGTTTGCACTGAAGCGAATCCAGTGCCACTCACAAAATGAGCAGAAATTAGCGAAAGAGGAGGCAGAGTATCATCGTAGAGTACATCACCCAAATCTTATATCACTGGCGGCATGGAAGGTTACTGGTCAGTCTGCAGGTGTCACAGAAGTTTTGCTTGTCTTGCCATTCTTCAGAGTAAGTGGCACTTCTTGATTGTGATTTTGCTAAGGTTTTTGTGATTTCCTGTTCACAAGCAGAATGGGGTATGCATGACTACATGTACATGCCACAAGTGTTCTGATGAGAGAATCTGATCACAAGTCTCGCAAAATGTGGTCATAGCTACCCCATATATGTAAAAAAAATCTAGAAAATCTGTCTGTTTTCTTGTAATATACAGAGAGGCACATTACAAGAGGAGTTAGACAGACTAGCTCACAGAGGTGAGCAAATACCAGAGCCCCGACTACTCAGACTCTTTAGAGCAATATGTGATGGAGTCAAGGCACTACACCATGCATCACCAGTTCCCCTTGCACACAGGTACATGTAAATGTATATAAGGGGCTAGCAATCAAGTATGTACGTGCAGTTGTACCGGTACAGATGAAATGATGAATTTTCAGACTCTCCTTCAGCCTTTGTACATGTACATAGCATATGGAGCAGTTCTGTACACATCCATGGAACTTATGCACAGCCGTTAAGACAAAAAAGATCAATTGACAATTGAATATTGGCTTACAATAATGCACACGACTTTATATGTACTGTATACTGACACCACTGCATGCATACTGACAACACCGCATGCATACTGACAACACCGCATGTATACTGACAACACCGCATGCATACTGACAATACCGCATGCATACTGACAACACCGCATGCATACTGACAACACCGCATGCATACTGACAACACCGCATGCATACTGACAACACCGCATACATATTGACAACACCGCATGCATACTGACAGCACCGTATGCATGTGTGAATAATTGTCAAGTTTACTTGTGCATCTTTGCATTGTTTCTCTTTTTTATTTAATTGGACTGCACATAACTTACGTTCTTATGTGTAAAAATGTGTTTAAAAAGGTAAGTTCTTGCACATTTTGTCAGTCTGCGTCTTCACAATTTTGATCTTTGTCACAAGTCATGTACATGTATTCAATCATTCAGGGATCTGAAGCCTGGGAATGTACTTCTATCAGACAATGGAACACCTGTCATCATGGATTTTGGTTCCATGGCACCAGCCAGACTTGAGGTTAAAGGTCGATCAGAGGCCCTTGCTGTACAGGTACACATATGATTGACTTATTGAATGAACATACATGTAGGCTACATCAGAATCTGCTGTGTATGGCTATATAGGTCTTTACTTCATGGAAATGCGTGGAGACACACAGACAATAGACCTAGCCATAGCTCGCCTGTTTCGGACACTGCCATACAAGTACAGTAGTTTGATTGGGAAGAGATGGAAAATGTACATGTAGATAAAAATGAGCACTGCATGTATGTACAAAAAGACAAAAATGCCATAACACTATAGACAATTCATCAAGAGTGACCTGCGCTTTGGCTTGACAATACAAATAAGGAACCCATTTGTTATGGCATTTCCTCTGTTTGCTTCAGGGGTGTGTGTTTATGGGTATTTAAGGAAACCCAAGTACCCATTTTTGTTCGATATTGAGTACCCAGGTACCAGGGTTGTATCTGAATCCAACACGTAAGTCTCTGTAAGTCCATCACAAGTCATTTGGGTTAAGTTAATTCTCAAGCTTTTCAAATGAGCTGCGACAACATTATTTTTTTGTCATTGTTAGGGCAAAATTATGACTGGCCTTGTCGAGAGACTTGAGGAGGGACTCGGATGGCGGACTTGAATACCACACTGCTGGGTACCCTTAAACTATACAAATGGAATTGTGCTCAATCCCAGTGGACCATGTGCCCAAAACAGTGCTTCTTTATCATACATGTACATAAAAAGCAGCACATTGTTCTAAATGTTGGTGGGGAATCTCCCTTACCGGTACCTTCCATTTGAAACAAAAGCAGCTCCGTCGATTTCTCAACCAGAAATGTAAGAGCAGGAATGGGTTTTTCATTGGCACATTTATTTTTCATCAATTCTCCCCTTCATTATTCAAGTTCACGTACATGTTATATGTGGACTTTTTGCAGTGTTGTAGTACTTGTACTCGGTACTCGTACTCGAGTACTACTCGAGTACCATTTTCAGAATACTCGTACTTGTATCCGGACGTCCAAGTACTCGTACTCGAACTACAGTTCTTGTACTCGGGCTACAAAATACTCGGAACTCGACATCCAAAAATTGTACTCGAGCTTCAAAGTACTCGTACTCGATTAGCAATACACGATGAAAAAATCCTTTAAGTTAACTTACCACGCACGGCCGTTAAAATAAGGTACAAAAATATCGACTGCAATGACCCAATATTCGATACGGTTCTGACAAAGAGAAGGCCGAATGTGGGACCATTAAGGCATACGACCCATTCGCCGTCTGTGCGCGTACTTAACCAATCACGTACGCAAATTATATTGTAGTACTCCAGAATGGTTCCGCGATTTACTTGGGCATTGGTAGTCTGGTACCTGGACCCGAAAATTTTAACAACGAACCCAGCATACAGAAAATCACAGGCATGTGAATAATTGAGTCTGGAAAATAGACTTCGCCGCGCTGTGCACATTGTGTCAACTGCTGCAACGCACGTGTAGTGACCTTGACATTGCTTGCCAGATCACTTGTTCTTGTAGCCATGCCATCTGCATTCGGTGTTTCTTTTACACAGTGGCAGGTCTTATGAGTCTTTAAATAAGATAAAACTACTTTTGAATTAGAAGTACTTGTACTCGTATTCGGAAGTACAATGTACTTGTACTCGGAAGCCAGTACTTGTACTTGGCTGGCAAAGTACTCGCCCTTTCTTTGTACTCGGAAGCCAAAGTACTCGGCAGTACTTGGTACTCGGAAAAAAGTACTCGACTACAACACTGACTTTTTGTACAGGTACCCCATCTGATAAATGGAACCGAGTTTTTATATTGACGGGTGGGTACCTCAGTACTTTGACCCGGCACACGCCTTGTTTGCATATTACAAGATGTTTTGTTTCATCACTGATTATGAACACTTAAAACTTCCATGTCATTCATCGTAACATAAATGTATACCTAAAAACCTACATGTACATGTCTGTTGATCTTTCATGAAAAGCAATTTTCTTTGATGTAATTTCCAATCAGGATCTTGCTGCTGAGAAGTGTAGCATGTTGTTCCGAGCACCAGAGCTCTTTCATGTTGAAAGCCACACCATCATTGATGAGAAGGTGGATGTTTGGGTAAGTACTTCTCATGAAGCCCTATGCACATTATCCACTAGCACAAACTACATGTACTTACATAAAGTGGGAATGATGAGCTCCTAAAAGGAATCTATCAATGTTATCAGGTTCCTCGTTCAGCCCCATGTCTTTGCAAGTTTAAAGCCAGATATGAACTGTTGAAAAACTAAGTGACAAAGCAAGCAATTTTAATATATGTACAAAGAATTTAAACTACAGGTTCAAGTTGATCTGTGGTAAATAAAAGTTATTTCCGATGTTGTTTGGTTAACAAAGAATAACTTTGCACTAGAACATTTCTAACTTGTGCTTCATCCATTTATTTTCAGTCGTTAGGATGTACACTATATAACATGGCTTTCCAGCAGTCTCCATTTGAGCCTGTGTATCAACGAGGGGACAGTTTGCATCTAGCTGTTCTTGGACGCAACTTCAAGTTTCCAGGCAACTCAAGGTAAGAGCTTCCTTACAGAGCAACAAACCCTAGGCATTCAAACAACAATGGGTAACTCTGTGAAGGGGGATCAATGATCTCAAGCATGGAAGTGCAGGAATAACTGAGGACCAACAAAGATGACCCCTCAATGTCTAATAGATGATTATTAGACTCTACCATTATCTGACTGGGGAGGCCCAACATAGACGGCCCCTCAGTGTCTAACAGATGATTATTAGACTCTACCATTATCTGACTTGTGAGGCCCAACATAGATGACCCCCAGTGTCTAATAGATGACTATTAGACTCTACCATTATCTGACTGGGGAGGCCCAACATAGACGGCCCCTCAGTGTCTAACAGATGATTATTAGACTCTACCATTATCTGACTTGTGAGGCCCAACATATATGACCCCCAGTGTCTAATAGATGACTATTAGACTCTACCATTATCTTACTGATGAGGCCCAACATAGATGACCCGTCAATGTCTAATAGATGACTATTAGACTCTACCATTATCTGACTGATGAGGCCCAACATAGATGACCCCTCAATGTCTAATAGATGATTATTAGACTCTACCATTATCTGACTGGGGAGGCCCAACATAGAAGGCCCCTCAGTGTCTAACAGATGATTATTAGACTCTACCATTATCTGACTTGCGAGGCCCAACATAGATTACCCCCAGTGTCTAATAGATGACTATTAGACTCTACCATTATCTGACTGATGAGGCCCAACATAGATGACCCCTCAATGTCTAATAGATGATTATTAGACTCTCCTATAATCTCACTTCTGTTACAAATGATACTACATTTTCTAATTTGCAAATGTATCTCTTGTACATTTATCTCGTAAGCTTCCAGGGTACAAACGCTCTGGGTTGGAGACATAACAATGAACAAAGCAGATTTAGCATTGACCATTCATTTTCTCCAGGTACTCGACTGCCCTCCACGAACTCATATCCTCTATTCTGGTCGTAGAAGTCATAGAGAGGCCTTCAGTAACATGGATTATTGAGCAATTGGACATCATGCTCCAAGAAGTGGAACACAGGGTGTAAAGATCAAAGATCTAGGTGCATATAGCCAGGTCAGGTTTAATATGTCTCTGCTGCATACATGTATATCATGTAGCTATGATAACTCACACAAATTATCAGTGACAAATACTCCTCCCATGTATAACTCTGCCCCTGTAATTCAGGACTAATGAAGTTCTCCCTTGAAAAAAGAAGTTTACATTGTAGTTAAACTGTCACGAGAGGGCTCAAATCAGTGGAACCAAACGACTAGACAGAAAGTTTAGGGCAAGGTTCCCTCTGTAATAAATGAAATCGGTTATTGATAACCAGCGGTGTCACTGGGGCCTGGTCCCAAATGGTCGACTAGGTAGTCCAAACCATCCATTGTTTGGGCCGTGTTAATCGAATTATAGTTATTTAGTTGTCACTTGAACTTGCCTTGATATTTTGCAACTCTTTCACATAATGATCACATATGGCCCTGAATTGCTCTGCATATTGTTTATGCTCTGATAACTGAATGAGATGGATTGCACATTGTCACTTTGATTTCTTAAGTTTGTCAACTATCATCAATTTCGCTTGCCGGATAACTGGCAACTTCAAAGTGCAGTAGCTACCTGGCTAAACCTGCAACCTGCAAACAGGCCTTTTGGAGAAGAATGTTGGGGTGCACAATTTTGTCAATCACTCCACTGATAATATAAATTGTACCATATTTCATTTGATTCCTTTCAGAAAGAGTCTACTTTGTAATTGTGGAATATCAACAATGGAGTATGATTCACTATTTTTTAAAAGTTCATGTACATGTAGCAAGTTGGAAAACGGGATTTATCCGAAACCTCATTTTGACCAGTTCTTTGTATTGATAAGCTTAATCTAAGTACTTAACGGCACACTTGACATGCAATAGTATTTCACAGAGAACAATACAGGTTTTTTTTGTGCAAAATAGTGAGGACATTGAAAGCTTTTTATAGTGAAGATAGCAAGTAAAAGGTTTCCAGTAGCACCACGCCATAGGGATATTGCTGTTCTTAGCAAGTAATCTAAAGCCCAAATCTGCCGATGACAGGGCAAACACTTATTTTTGTATATTTATTCCTCTTTCATTGTAAAGGTTCTCTTTAAGAGCATCCTGATTTAGTGAAATCTTACATATACATGTCATGTTCAGGGTTTTATTTGGTGAAACAAAGCATTACACATTTCTTTTATACATATACCAGCTTGTGTTTACAATTCTTGGGTAAAATGTAACGAAAGGCATACATGTATGTATAAAAAGCAGTCTCCATATTAAATCCATAGAGAACTGAAATCTTGCAGAGTTAATTTTCAAAATGGTTAAACTTGATGCCTTTTTGTGAGCCAAAAATGTCTCCAGTTCCTGCCAGTTGAATTCAAGTGTGTCTTATTTTCAAAACGAGTCTTTCACAAAACAAGTCAATCATTCAAAAAATGAATGGTGAACCTACATGTATCAAAATATTCCAAGACGACATTGTGGTATTTAAAGCCTACTATCTCCACAAGAATTTGGCACCCATCCACCATTTCAGAAAGAGACAGTCCTACCAATACAGAAAATGCACTGCAACACTTACTATTACCTCCTGTATTCTGTGAGGACCTATTTACTCTGTCATAATTATGAATATCATCATTGCTTCATAATTAACATAACGGAACCTACTTTTTTGAACTTGGGCATGTTAGGAGCCATACCTGCACACTGCCATAAATACAAATGTATACAGCTTTTGTACAAAGCAATAAATTTTAAGAACATCTATACATATGTATAAATATTGACATCCACCAACAACAGATAAAGTGAGGGGATCCTTAGTGCATAATCTGTGGCAATGAACTTAAAACGTGGAACTATAACGATGACAGCAACATGCACTTGTAAACACTGCTGATCTCCCACATAAATGTTTGAAAAATATTAAAAAATCTTGCATTACTTTGGTTGCATACTATCTTGACAGCGCTCCAAGCATTGATGAATGTATCTGCCATGACTATGCCAGGCCATCAGACAATTCTTCTGATGTCACAATTTCCGTATTACTGAATGATACATGTATGTAGGAATAGTTGTCACTAAAAATAAATTAGCTGTAAATGTCACTGTACACAGCAGTGAGAACAGTTAAGACACTAATAGGAGAACAAATGGAAAGATGGAGGACAGAGTGGGTTGACAAAAACCTGAGCTTCTCATATTTTCTATTGTACTCCTTAGTGCTCCATTTTTTCTTCTTTTTCTCCAATCCCTTTCTTTTCTCCATCTGTAACTGTTTCCCCAGTCTGTTCTTTCTCATCATCTGTGCTCAGTACATCTTCCTCAGTATCGTCACTCTCTGATGACTCCCCTCGATGCCTAAGCCAAGATTCATCTAGCCCCTCCCCAGGTCCAAGGAGAGCTAGAAGTTCCTCTGTGTGTAGAAGAACCTGTTCATCATCACACTTGATCTTCTGATACAGCTGCATGAAAGAAAACAACAGAGAAAACAATATTTCTTTACCTTATACCACAATCATTCTGATGGCACCACAAAGTCCTAATTTTTAAGTTTTCAGACTGAAAAATATAGCAACATTCCAATTACTGTACAAGGAACAAAAGAGTTCTGACGAAAAAAGGGTGTTTGCTGTCAAAGGGCACTTACTACACAAGTGACTGCTTGTTTTCCTATGAGCTTATAAAAAATGTGTTGGCAGGTATGCAACTATGTGTAGAAAACAGGAGGAAACTGCCTGTAACAAACTCGTGATGCTAATCAAGGTGCAGTGTTAAGTCCAGTGTTTTGGGATTTCTCACACAACAAAGCATATAAACACAATACTTGTATTGTCTGCTTTCTCTGCGATATACCCATAAATGAATCATGCCTATGTGCTGTATTTGCAACATGGTACACACTGGGAACTGGACTAAGGGATCAGTCAAGATTTTCAAAAAGTCATCCATGCTTTTGATTGCATGGAAGATCATATTGTCTTATGACAAAAATGTAACTCCCCCTTTTCTATTCTATGCCCCGTACGAATCGGGCACTATTTATGCTAATTTATGACTAAAGAAATGCTCCCTTCTTAATCCAAGAGGAAACTAGGATTTGGTTCCTTAATAACCATACCTTTTTAGCCATGTTCAAGAAGAATCTTGCAGGTGCTTTATGATCCTCTCCAGTTTTCTCCACATTTATCAAGCCCAGCATATACCAAACTTGCACAACCTGATCATCTTCCTGAAGAAGTCCTTCCAAGATCTCCTCTGCTTGCTAAAATGAGGACAACAATATTTCTAAACATGATTAGTATCTGTATGAAACGATACCTTTTTTCCCTTGTGAAACCCATTTTAGCCAAATGCATTAAGCATTCAGAAAATAAAAGCCTCAATATGAGCATGTACACTTTACAAAAATCATCTTACATAATCTGGTGAAGAGCTTCCACTACTTCCATTTACAGGAAGTAAAAAAGTACATTTTCACAATTTATTCAAATTAAAGCGCTTCCTTTGGGATAAATTGCACTTTAACTTAATAGGGACACAAAAATGAGAACTGACTTCATTCATTTCCAGCTCCATCAAGATTTTAGCTGTGCCAATCCGATTCTGGTAGTTTAACGGGCAGGGATTGACTGGATCAAAGTTTGAACCTTCCATGTTCACTTCTTCCTCTTCTAGGGCCTTCATTTTTGGAAGCCATAGCGACAGACTCTTCTCAATTGACTTCTTAGCTTGCTGACAAATAAAAAAAATGAATGAGGTTAGACACATAAGATTGAAAAGCTTCATTGATGAGGAATGTTGAATACCGACACAAAATAGTAGCATGTGAACAGACCACAGATTTCTAACAGCATTTTAAACTTCCAAAATAATTCCATTTATCGCGTTAAAATAGCAAAGCAGCATGTCAATAAGCTACAGTCTAGTTCCCTACCTCTTTGTCTTCCTTGCTCAACCAATAGCTAGCAAGGACCTGGTAGGCTTCAGCACTGTCACTATCTGTATCAATAGCCTTATCTATACATTCTTTGCACTTCTCCTCAGCATCTTCAGCAAAACTAAGAGTGATACAACAAATTGGTAATACGTAATATTACGGCATATTTGGGAAGAGTAAAGAAACAAATACAAAGTGTCCCCACCTGCTTCCTTTCTAATATTTCTATTCACAAAAATGTCAACTGGACTCTACCGATGATGACCAAGTGATATCCAGTTCAAACATGTCCTTGGATGTCCGTATATGGTTATGACTGAAAACTGCACACACACACAGCTGTAGCAGTGGCAGCCATCTTGGAAACAAAAAATAATAAGCCCAACCTCCTCCCTAATTTTCAGAAACCCAGACAATGGGTATTGCTGAGAATGAAGTCATGTTCTTGACCTGTTACTGTGACACAACACAGTATATGCATGCCTACAGTACAAATAACAGTCCAATCATTTGCCCAAAGTTTCGTACCATGAATCCGTCAGATAAATTTCTGCCATGGAGCAATAAGCTCGAGCAATATCTCCATCGGTTACTGGATCAGTTTGTGAATCCTCCTCAGCACAGGCTGCTTCAGGCTGCAGTCAGCAGTGGCAGAGAAAAAAAAATCTCTTCAAATCAGTTCCTCAAGCCGTCAAAGTCCTACCAAACATTGGGAGAATCTTGCGAAAACAACAATAACCAGAATTGTCACTCAGGGAATAAGCCCTTCAGTGTACCGTACCAGTGCATGTACATGTAACAAACTTGAGAGGTTACATAAACTGAAGGGTCTAAAAGAGCTGGATTAAGAATGTGGTAAATTTGTAAGATGGGGGGAATAAACACCTGGTATGAGACAACCAATACACATCCAACATAGCCCACTGTAAAATGTTCCATAACTATGCAGGCCTACAAGTGTGCATACTGTACTACAACAGAACTGACATTCACAAATAAGGCCAAGTTAAAGGCTGAGAATTCAACTCGAATTCTAACAATTTTATCTGCCCTGAAGAATTTGAAGAGGTAAAAATACTTTTAGTAAGACCTCAACTTGTAACAGGAGATCCCAGCAAATCTTGATAGATAGAAGCAAGATATCAACATAACTGTCTGCAAGACATTCTCTTTTCCTTTTTCCTTAACCCCTTACATGTACTTTGTAACTTTTCTAGCAAACGTTTTCTTAAAAATCTGACCTCTTAAATCTCACAACAAAACAGCCAACATCAAAAATGGAAACCTGCAATTCTTACCAACATGACCAAGAAGCACTGTTGCCATGGTTACTGAATCAATCATATTATTTCGATTTACGTAGACATCATAACACATGTAAATCACCTGCTTGTCTTGTTTCTCTCTTTCTTTCTCCATCAGCTCGATTCCTTTCACAAAATATTGCACTGCCTCTTCACCTTCAAATAGTTGCCCCATGTACATGTACTTAGAATAGCCAGACTCAGGGGACAAGACGATGGCTCTACCCATGCAGTAAATGAGAAGCTAAGGAAAGACAAAATTGCAGAGACATACATGTACACCTGTAGGTCATTCAGGGTATGCAGAATTCCCCAAAATAAAAGCAGTCCTAGCCAATTCAAAAGTTAAATGAATTTGACCCTTTTTATATTGAAAAGGATATTTGTTTGGCCTTCTCAAGTTCACCAACTTCAATCAAGAGACTCCCAGTGACCTCTAATACCTGCAGGTTGTCTGGCTCAATCTCCAATGCCCTCTGAAGAAATTTCTGTGCCAGGTCGAAGTTAAATGTATCCATGCAGTCTGTTGCCTAAGGAAGCAAAACAAGGCGTGTCATCATTAACTTGAATTTTTGAAAAAATTTATTTGGGTCAACAGCTGCTGTACTGAGCACATGTATACACTTGTCTTCTGTCTCTAATGCTACATGTAGAGTATATGATAACTTAAGTAACTAACAACTGAAGATTCAACAGCATACCCACCTGGGCCAACAGCTGCTGTACTGAGTACTTTGACTGTCCATCCCCTGTCTCTTGCCCCTTATCACTACTTTTCCGTCTACCTTCCTTACTTTGACCAGGCTTCTTGGTTTCCTTGGCCAATTCCTTCAGCCCTGTAAGAAGGAGTTATATGATTTGTTACAATATACACATACATGTATCACATTAATAATTTGCATTTTTATACTAAAATGGTAGAGTGAAACATTACATAAACTTTTAAAAGCCTAATTCATTTTATGAACACTGAGAAATTTGTCTAACAAGCACATGTATATGTACATGGACATAAAGTGAACAGACCATTATGTACATGTATGATACCGGTACAAACATTCCTTTGTGTCTGAATGATCCTTTTTAAATTTTAAATTTGTAATGTCTGTACACTTATAATATTCATCTTGGACTCTTGTGTGCTTTTTGATACCTGAGGCCAGGTTCAATTAATCTGGATATCAGGTGCAATGGTACAGTATAATCTTGCATATCAATCAATTACGTACATGTATTAGGCCTCAGGGAATTCAGAGGAAAAGCGTGGAAAATTTCTAGTCCTGTCTTGTGAATACGAAGTCACAACATGCAAATTTGGAAACAAGACTAAGATTTGTCAAGGTAAAAGTCCTCGAGAAATTCACTGCACATTTACTGTTGTTGTACATACATGTACATGTGTCTAGATAAAAGAGCAAAAATACATGTAGTTGGGTCAGTGTTGTTTAGTATTCATGTCCACTGCCAATAACAATATCCCAAAATTAACAGTCGGTTTCTTTTGACATTCTGGACATTTTTCCACATCCCACCACCATCAATTATTAAACACTAGAATTAAAAGTTGTAGCCACCACTATAACACGAACAACCTGTCCTTTGACAGTTTCAGTTTTTCCAAAGCAGAACGGACATTTCTTCAATAGAAATACAAGGTGAATTGGAATTTATGTCTGGTCACATGATGAGTACAAACTGTGGTGGCCAGATATGGAACTCTTACATAACCATGACAACCAATAACACAGAGATTCACTGTGTTCAGATGTTGTATTAGAAACTCTTTTAACATCTGCACATGGCTGGTGATGGTAGAGTCCTAGAACCTTCCATAGGCTGTGTACAAATTAATTGATTTTATTCAAAATAGCTGACATCAATCACAGTCCTCAGATTCCTGAAACTAATGTTTACACTGAAGATAAAGTGGGAATCAAAGATTCCAATTATGGTGACAACTAAGGGTTGGAATTTGAGTTTAATTTTAAACATTGTTAGAGAATTCTCCAAACTATTTAACATTTAGCCAACACTTTACAGAGGTCGTTGCTACCTACTTCAGTGTTTTCATATAAATGTGTGCATAAATGTAGTTCAACAATGCACATGGTCCAACCATTGCAGCTGTTACCATTCCAACCAGCATGACCATGTAAAAATATATATTGATTTGGGGACATTTAAAACTAGCAATGTCACTGAATGTTTGTTTTAGAATCCACTTTTTTTGTCATAAAGTACATGGATGCTGAAAGGGAACAGTGTTCCAAACATCATGGGAGTCGGGTTGGCGTAGTGGATCTTTCCTCACCTTTCACCTCTGCGGTCCATGTTCGAATCCTGGCCCAGTCCACATGTGGATTGGGTTTTCAGTCTCTACCTATTTCCGTGGGTTTTACCCAGAATATTCCGCTGGGGTTTTCCTCCCACCTCTAAAACTGTAACTGCTTCTCATTGTCTCCTTGCAGGTTTCAGGCTTGCGAGCTACAGTGCCTAGGGTGCTTTTGAGGAATCCTTGGTGTCATTACCAGAAATATAAAATAATAATCAGATTACATGTTACAGGCATCATTTGCAATAAAAATGTCGATCAAAACTTCAATCAAAACGTCAAACCTTTCAAAGGGGCGGTTCCATTCAAACGTTAGGGAAAAATTGTAAATGGATTAGGAAGTTGTTTCGTATAAACAGTTAAACATGTTAACATCCCACCCATCAATGTTCACTCACATACATTTCGGAAGAATAGCATGAATGATGAAGAGAGAAATTTCTTATTCAATCGGAAACACTCTTGTCGATTCAAACTAGTATTACTAGGGAAATTATCGATAATGTCAGGATGCGCAAGCTAAGCAAACCATTCATCACCATTGCATTTACATGTATATGATGGTTTTCTAAGCGGCCCAAATGTCTGACATGCCCGGTGTACTGACCCAATAATATGCCCAATTTAGTCACAAGTTGAACACAACTGCAGGATGGTTGCCAGCCGTGTCTGAATGTTAAACATGTTAAAAGAGGTAATTTGTAGAGTCCTAGTCTTTTCCTACCTCCATGGTTACTGGAACTAGTTTTGATGTACATGTAACAACACACCAATCCATGACAATCGTAAAAATTAAAATGATAAAAACTTACATACGTGTACATCAACTAGACCTACCGTGACAACAAACGCTTACAATATTTCTCCATGCATGCATGTATGAAAAACATGACAAAGTGTAGCTCCTGACCCTAGGCTCGATCACGGCATGGAGGATGTTTTTATTCCTCCATGATCACGGTGACTGTGGGTGGTGGGGGTAACAGCCTGCGCAACAAAATCATGCATGAGAATATTGCGCAATATTTCCTACCTTTCCTTTCTCCTCGCGTACTTCCTCTCTTCGACCTTCTTCTTCCTTTCACCTTGCTTGTTCCCCCCATACTCAAAATCCAAGTGAAGAAACAAAATTTAAATAAGAACAGTCCTAATGGGATGTATGTACAGGTACTGTTTATGGCCGACACAGTAACGTTAGGCCATACATAATCGATGTACACATACAATATGTACAGTTGTACATGTACTAGGCCAATGTGAACACGCGCAAGATTTTTGCAACACGTCCGTCCTCTTTGCGAACACGTGTTAAACTGATTTGACTCCTTGCCTAGCCTGACACGGGTCCTCGTCCACATCAAAACGTCTACAATTTCACAAATGTCAATGGGGCTTGACTTTGTTAAAAATCATCCTCATATCATACTAAAAATTGCATATACTTAAAATAAATTTGATACAAATTCATCTGATAACTATTTTTAACTTTTTATGCTTGACGGACGCGGAAAGCATTCTTCGGTCGAAGGTAACCCCCTTTTCACTATTGGAACAATCCTCAAGAGAGACCATTTTCAGGTGTGCAATCTTTAACGCAACGGATATTTATTAAGAAACAGTTAATACTTATTATTCCATGTATACATAAAAATTACTTAATAAATATTTTAAAAGTAGAAATAGCCTAAAAATTATGTGTACTTAATTGACAGGCATACATTTTCAGCAACTCGTACCTACAGTAATAATGGACTATGCTCCCCGGCCCCATCCATCACAAAGATCAATGATAAGGATATATGACCACGTCTGAGTGACAAACATTTTGTGCTCGAAAATTGTAAACACAATTTCATCATCTTCGTAATCGCATCATAAGACTCAATTTGCTGTTGTTTATACTTGTATTTAGTTAAGTGTCTGTGAGTGAAGTATGACTCTTCTCCTCAGAAACCTCCAGAAAACGGTATCCTTTGACTTGCCTAAGTTAAAGGCCGACATCAACTTGTTGCGGCGAATTATTCGAGCAGAGCGTTATGACTTGGCTGTTATCTGCATGGAGGACAACCAGCTACGTGAAATGAACAAGATTTATCGAGGCAAGGATGAAGCAACAGACGTTCTGTCATTCCCTGCTCATGAAGTAGGATTTTTGAAATAATTAGGCCTACACTGTAACCTGTTAACCTTGGCTATGGTGGTCAGACCCCCAATCATGCCAATGGCCCATGCAAAGTAAATACGCCTGTGATTTAATCCTAGGGCCTACATACTGGTTATACTACATGTACACGTATCATTATCAAAATACAACTGTATCAGGTAGTTCTATAATGTGCATGCTCATAACTATGGTTATGATGTACCACTTCAACCAGCAAAAGTTAAATGTACAAATATACTTTGACACTGTTTCATAAAGAATCAGATTTCAGCAAATCAATACCAACATTATTAAATTGCTCATGCCTACACATATAGTAAAATAATACCTGAATTAATAACAAGGGGTCATGCCACTCATGGAACATGTAGAAGATCTAAATTTTGTATGATCACATACGCGGTGTAAATCAAGTATAATTGCCAACAAATCTCATTCTCATGCAATGAAGAATGTGCTGTTCTGATGCACATAACCTCCATGTTGATCAGTCTTTTCAGTGTCTGGAAAAACACAGGCATTTGGGACTTAGAATTATTTCAGTTTTGTCAGAACAATCCATCCAACATTTCATTCCAAGTTTTGATTATTTTTATTTGGTGTATACTTCATTGGTGTTTCTTTTCTTTACTTGAATGCACAGAGCCTTGCACCTGGCCGATTGCCTGATCCCTGGAGCGACCTTGCTGATCTGGGTGACATCTTTCTAGGGATGCCTTTTATACAGGAACAGTGTAAAAAAGATGGAACAGATATTGACACTGTTTTGCCTGTGAGTTGATTCACAGTGTCTGATAAATTTCTCGTACATGGATTAGGAAAGATGTCATAATTGGAAGTCAGTTCTGAACCTCACTATTATATAAAGGCAAATTATCATAAAACTTAAAGCAAATGGCGCCTCAAATTTGACGCACAAATTTGACAAATATTGAACAGATTTGCCTGAAATCAAGCACGTAGGCAACAAAAAAATTCCAATTTGATAAAGGATTTTTTCTCAGCCAGTGTCTGAACATTTAATGTTGTAAGGTTAATGTTTTTTACATTTCTCAGGTGGTAGTGACACATGGACTCTGCCATCTTATTGGCTACAAACATGACACTGGTGATCGACTCAAACAGGTAAGATTGAATGAATCAGGTAGTAAATGCAGGGAAGTCTCAATGTCATAAGGAAAGGAAGTTTATCTCCTTGTCTCTTCTATTCAGACATTACAAATTAAGTTCCTACACCTGCCTTGGCTGCTTGGCATCAACACTAGCACCACACGTAGGGCTGTGATGATGACAGTGTAAAAACAAATATCAAAAGAGAGGCAATCTCAACCCTATGTGTGGGGCTACTGCAACATGTACAAGAGTCTGCTTTGTACTGACCAATCTTTTTTCATCCAATAGATGTACAAGCGAGAATTGGACATCCTTGAAGAATACAACAAGCTTACTAAAAGTAGCCTGAGGCCACTGACAAAAGATCCTGCAGAAAATTAATGTGCAGTTAAATTAAGGGTCACTTCCTAATTAATCAAATCAGATGACTTTGACAGACGGAATTTTCTCACCTGCCACCTCACTCATAATAAAACTGATGGAAGAGGTCTCCACTTCACTTCCTCCCATGCCCTGTGACCTGCTGCCATCACCTTAAAATGACTGATCACATCCTCAAAACTAATTGGAGAAAAAGGTTCTTCTGTTGTTGAAATGATTATGTACGGTATTCATGAAGAAACTGGCAAGTGTATTTAGATGTTGAGTGAATGCAATTGATGATGGGATCCATTTCTTATTGTTAAATTATTGTCAATTAGATGATAGTGATAGCTGGAGAGGTGGTGTACAGTTAATTACCAAGTTTAGATTTACAGTATCTCGCTGCAAGTACTGTAGTCCCGAAAATTACAGTTGTAATCTTTCTTGTAGGCTTATTTCCCCTCACAGATGAAAATGTAACATGGGAATTCCTACATTGGATATAATTTTAATGCCTTGATTTATAGTTTTATAAAGCTTCTTGCACAAAGCAATGCAAAGCCATGACTAAATATTAAGCTGCTATTTTTCTGTGATGTTCCCTTTATACTGTAATTGTTACAGATAAACAGAAATTCTCAGGTTGAACAGATTACCTTCTGTTGCCATGGTAATGTTCAAATCCTCTGGGGCATTCAGATTGTATGTGAATGTAATTCATCAAAAACAGCCTCTGTTGAGATTAACTTGGAATAGACTCTTCAAAAGATTTTTAAATTTCATATCTGAACATTTTAATAAACAGTAAATAACCTGACAGTTAAATCACTTGACAGGTCATGTCACGTACATGCCAACTACATCTGTATACAGGTATATGTCCTGACATAGTCTGCTTACCTTTTCTGAAAACTCCCAGTCATTTGTCAGTCAGCCAGTGCTATGTCCCTCGGTGTTTACCATACTCCTGATGTGTGTATAACTTCTTGTTATACAAAGTGAATTTTCAACTGAGGACTTGTATAGAATTTCAAGATATTAAATATGCCTACAGATAAGTCCAAACAATGGTTTGTTAATCATTTTTTAAACAAATCCTGTAATAAAATTGGCTCAGATATGTTTCTACGTTTTGGAGAGAGGATGGTTTCAGCTAGGAATGGCTTGAAATTAATGATGGGAAAAATTATTAATCTGACTCTACCTACACAAAAATGAATTTCATGTGGTTTAATTTTGAATTCATCTTGATGTTGAATTCATTTTATTACATGGACCAAGTGAAAGAAATATGACTTCTTCAGAATAATTTATGGTATTATACAGTACAATAAGTGTTTATTTAACACCAACAAAACAAACATTTCATTAATAATTTACAGTCATGTATGTGTGCCTTTATAACAGAAAACTAACAATATAAATAAATACCTGCACTCATGAATGATTTGATGAGTTAATCAAGCTGCTGAATGGACAACCATTCAACAAGGGCAAAGGAACTAAGGCAAATTAAGTATTAAAATAGGAGCAAGTGTAGTGTATATGTATAATGTATATGTTCAACTATTTGAAGCATTCAATGGCAAAAGGCAAGTACATTATAAGGTAGGGCTACGTAAGAGAAATGGGGATTACATCCAGACTGAGCAATGCCTGTCAAATCAGAATTTAGCGAATAGAACTTGGGGAGGGGAGGGCATAGAGGAAAGATTTGACTTATAATCTACTAAATCATAAAAATTGTTGTGGTATTCTTCACATTAAGTCCATCAAAATGGCCACCACCCAGAATTATGAAAGCCTTCATTGTTTTTATCGACATCATCTTTTGTACCCAACAACAATAATCCTTATCCCAGTCCTACTGATACAGCTGCATCACTACTTGGCCAAAAGCCAATGCACATTTTCAGTGGTGTACTCTGCAACATGATTATGTAATCGTTACATAATGTATCAGCACTGAGCAATATCCAATGACTGGGAAAACAGTGGTCAAAAAGGAAAAATGTAAACAAAACAAAAAAATTCACTATTTATCCCCAGAGGCTATCTGTTGATACGTGTACATGTACATAATTCTGTGTACATGTCATTGCAAGTACACCAGACTTAAAAAAAGAAGAAAAATTGACACTGATCCAGTTTCTTTTCTTACTTTTAACATCAACTGTGGCTAACTAGCATTATTTTGGTAATATACATTTATGCACACACATTACATGCTAGACAGCACAATGTCGACAAATTGGTACCTTATTCTAATATTATATTTAATATTTTCCCCATCTTTCTTTACTCTCAAGCAGTATTTAAAGCTCTGATCATAAACATGTAACTCTGACATTTTACATTTCAAACAGTTTCAAGCAGACAATTTCCTCTAATATTAACCCAATAAGCTGTACAATGTTGAGCTGAGCTGAACTTTTTATCACTTTTTTGTTACTGTTTGGAAACCTGATTTGTTTTCCTAGTACAACACATACTACACTCATGCATTTTTGTACATGTAGACCATCTGTCCAATTTTAAATACATGTAGAATATCTAAATGCACAGATACACCAACTACTTGACACAACCAGCGCCTTTTGGGAAAGAAGCAACCACTGCACTATTATATAATTCATTTTCCTTTCGGATTACACAACACACTTTTATATGGCTATTTACATCATTTTTCAGCAAGTTTATTTCCCATTGCAATTAAGAAAAATACAGGGTGTTCCAGATATGTTTATTCCAAATGCATTGTTCCAACCAAACATTAAAAAACTGACAATTTGGTCTCAATTGTATTTCATGCCCCATCGATATTTTTTATCGTGTGTTACATTTAACATTGTTTTGTGTGGTTGTGAGGATATTCCCATGCAGTAAAAGACTTAGTTGGATATATACACCCTTTAAACTTCTTCCTCTCCAACTTTAAATAACACCAGGTCTTCAAAATAAGCTTCATCTTGATAAAGTCCGAACATCTATTCACCTTTCCACTGTTAGATACCAGGGACCCCTTCTCTGGAACCAAATCAGATCTCTTTGTCCAATGACGACAACTGCAACTTGTAAAAGGCATTATAGGAAACTTTTATTAAATGCGGCGGACAATTGAGAGTATGATTTCTTCTGAACAATGCCAAAGTTGTATTTATGTATTTTTAAACCTGTAATTAGGATTTTGTGTTGTTGTATACAGCTATTTACTAACTTGAACTAATGAAGACCTTCACACATTATTCTGTATTATTTATTTTGATAGTTGTTTCTCTCGAGAATTGTAAATTTACATGTATTATCTTTGCAGGGGGCAGACCCCGTACAAGCTTCGGCTTTTTGTCTGACCTCCCTCCATACTATTTAATTTATTTTCATTACCTGATATTATTTAAATTGTGTATAGTATGGGAAATAAATAAACCAAAAAACCAAACCAAAATAAATAGCAAATTTGGGACCAGTCTAAACGGGCAAAAGATATGCCACACTATTTGCAAAAGCAGATCTGATGATTAAATTTGACAATTATGAAGTCCATAGGAACAAGTACTTTAAAAAAAAACAACTTACTTTGCCCAGATGTGGCACAAGACACGTTTTGTTGGGACACCCTATAATTCTAATAAATTACAATGTGCACTGAATGAACAGTTAAGTTACTGTTTACATAATTCATTTGTATAATGTTCAATTTAAATACCCGAAAATTAAATCTAGTCTCCTCTGAGCCATGTCCTCCTCTATCCAGATTAGCCACTCTGTGTTAAGGGTAAACTGTCTACTACATCACAAACCTTAGACAAGTAAAATGTCAAACTAGAAGCCACTTCTAAGTTGTATAATTTTTTACTTCACACTACGCTTTAAACTACAAACTAGATCCGATCTGTTGTCTTCAAACATTGCTCCAGGGAGTATATCTAATAATTGATGCTAAAGCTAGAATTCACAAAGTCATCTAAAGTTTTGAATGGTGTGACATGCACACTTACAAGCAAAAAAACACAAAACCAATCCTTTTTGGTTTTCAAAAGCACCAAAACAGTCTCAAATCCAACAGACAATAGTGTAAGGAGCACACAGTGAGAAAAAGTTGGTTTCTGGAAAACTGACATTTAGCCTGTTTGCTATCCCAAGGCTTCCATTTTGATCAGCTCTTTAATGCATTCATCAAAATAACCAACTGTCATTACACGTGGGAACAAATTACCCAAAACGGTTCACAGGAATTTCCTTGTGAATTTTGGTTCAGCCCACTACCCAGCCAAAATAAACTTTGGTTCAGCCCACTACCCAGCCAAAATAAACATTATATTTATACAGGGAATACAAAACCCTGTAACTTGATTACTATACTTATGTTTTGCACACAGGTCCCATTATGATTTTATCCGAGGATGCACAGGTGTTCTTCAGTTTACTTGCTATCAGCAAATCACATTAGAGTCTCACAAGCAAATATATCAGAAACTGATCATGTTTTGAGATATGGTTGTCCAGTACTTCTCCCTGTTATCTTAGCTTTCATCAGATTACAAGATAATTTACCAACTTTCACATGTGGCTATAAATCAACTTTTTAAAGCTCACTACAATACAGTCAAACACTTTCGGCCTTTGCAAGTCCTTTATATAAGAGAGGTCAATGCTTTTAGGTTACATTTTACTGAAGGTTGCAGGCTCTGGTACGACATACCTCACCCAGTTGGAAGGCATTTCACTGGAGCACTGCTAATCCACAGTAACCCTAGCAACTGTTACATCATCAAGCAAGTTATCTACCATGCAAGCTGGGTGCCAGACACATCAAGTAAAAAGGCAAGAAACCACAGTACAGGCAGGAAAAGTTCAACAGCTCCATTCCAAAGTAATCAAATTTCAAACACATGAAAATGCATACTGATTAATAGAAACACCACAGCTTTAATGCAAGAGGAAAACAAAGGAAACTATCAAATCATGTAGTGGTAAACTCAAAGCAGCAAAGCCATAAAAACAAGCCAAAAGTTGGAAAAAAAACCAAAATGAAACACTCAAAGCAGGCTCTGGTAAGACATGTCTCCCCAAATACAGGAAACATTTCACTGGAACACTGCTTTCAGTATGAAAACTGAATATCAAAGTTGCCGTAGGATGTGAAAAATTACAATGAGGAGAATGTTAGTTGGGTACTGGTAGGAAGAAGGGAGATAAAGCCATGTTGGAAGAGTCACAAGTGTAGTTTGCAATGTTTTGAATGCTAATTTAATCTTCTTGCAATCTGTACTTGGACAACCTGATATAGGGATTCAGAAAACGGAATCTTTTAGAATATGTAAAATTGGAAATAAATGGATATTTTAGTCAATTGAAGTAAACACCCAGATTGGTATGAACATCCTACACCTGCATCACATTGGTGTATTAACTGCCGGTCAAAAGTGTTCCTTTTTCCATTGTAAAATGAGTAACTATAACATTTATGTGCGCTTCTGACACTGAGATAAAGATGTGCGTATCTGACCGACCAACAACTTTCCTGCAGCTGAAAGAAATCATCTTCATTTAACGAAGGAAAGTTGAACTAGGCTACATTACACAACAAAACTTTTCTCTATTTTATTCATTACATTAAAATCTGTTTGAAATTCAATACAAAGTCTGTATCTCTGTTAACTAGTCCGGCTACTTATGCTTCAATTTAGTTGAATCATACATGTATCTATATCTAGCTCAACATGTAGCAGAAGCTGTCACTAAAGGACGTCAGAAAATTGGAAAATATTCAAGATTTTGTAACAACAACAAAAACAACTGTAGATCTGATGGATTTGGTGCTAAATATGAAGAAAGCTCTGGTACATTTCATAGGACCGAATCTAAGGCCGTGTACAAAACAGGCTTCTAGAGCTACGGCTAGGTCTGTTGTCTGTGCGTCGCTGCTTATTTCCAATGGAGTTAAGACCTAGACCCAGCTTTAGACAACAGATTCAGAGGCAGCCTAAGTATCTGAAATCTACAAGACCTTAAATGTACATGTACATAGGTTCCTTATTAAAATAACACCGGAGTTGATGCTTTAGGGGGCAGACAAAATGATTTCCCAAAATTTCACCTCAAATCCTGCCATCGATGACTGTGACTCAGGTTTTCAAGGAAAAGCTTTCAACATGGGAAAACATTTTGCCTAGGATTCCATTTCTTCTTTGCAAAGCCAAAAACAACTGAAAATTAAAAAAAAATACATTTACTCCATGTATATGTACAGGGACCCTCTTTTAGAAGAATTACTCTGAAATGCACGCATGGTACTTACACAAGCTTCATGTCTAGCTAACACATCTTTGATAGATATAGTTACCGTACAACCTTCACAAGACCACAATACGGATAGAAAAAGGAGCATTTCAACAAGTTTTAAAAGTTCTTATTTGATAAATTACTTATTAGGTTAACTCTAGTGAGGAAATACAGAGATCAATGTTTTTTACACGCATGGGGATATTTCCCATAAAATTTTCACAATAAGATTGCTCACATCCAACACTTTTCTGCAAATCGCCTACATACTGCATATAGTAGCTTCTACTGATCTGGGTTAATAGTCCTATTTGCCCACATTACTTGCCAGAACAATGCTCAAATTACTTACAAATAAGCCACATTCTATGCATGTACAACTGTAATTGATTGAGTGAGGAATTCCTGTATCAAGGATGTTTTGTACAATTAATGCCTGTTTGTATTTTGTTATTTTTTAGAAACTTTCTACATAATCATGGTTTTTAATAGGCAACATCTAATCCCTGTTGGCAAATCACCAGGCGGCCATTTTGTACCTTACGGAAGTTGAAATCTAGAGATTGACATTGGCATGACAATAATATTTATGAAGCCACAGCAGTAAGTGCTATCATGACATGATAGGTGGCTCAATGCAATATCAATATGATTATGTCTGATCAAGTCTGGGTGCAAGGCCAAATTGGCCGCCAAGTGAAAATGTTTCTATTACTGTCTTATTTCTTTATTTTAGTTTACACAGACTTCTACATGTATCTAAGAATTTACTGCAGGTGCAGACTTCATGAGTTTGTATCAAGATTCCATTTATCACTCCTACCTCTGCTGGGTTTGACCCATTTATAGCCATTTTGTCTCAAATTTTTCTAAATTTTTCAGATGGTTTTGTGAAATGGAGATATTCATCACTTCCATTAGCTTGCTGGTTCACTAGCTGGAAAGAAGATTAAAGAAACACATGAGATGCGGAGGGAAGTGAATCAGATTAATTGAAAAGAATTGTTTAACTGATTAAAACACATTGCTATAACTGACCAAGTTTGGGGAGTTGTAATGCTTCTTACCTCCTCAACTGACTCTATAGCAAACTTGACAATTCCACTGCTACCTACCTGTCATTGGAGCCTTACTGGTGTTGTTAGTTGACATCTTCTGCCGGCCTCTAGCCTTCATAGCTGCAATGTCTGCATCTGTTAACTTGGAGTCACCAAGTTTGGCTGGAAACAGAACATAAATCAACAATGAGGAATTATTTGTGGCTGATGAGAGCATAATCTTTCACCAGTATGTCATAAGAAGAATACTTTTGAGTGGAATATCACCACTGCAACCAGTTTACACAAAATCAGGCAACATAACCATCAAGTTTCATTTTTTACACAAATTTAAATGTATAACAACACCCACATGTAACTGTAACTGAACTTTTCATGTTGCCAAAAGTTTATCAATAAAAATGAACCTGTTTGCATGCAAATGACTTTGGATTCTTTGCCAGCCTGGTTCTTACCTCCTGGAAGTTTAGGTAGCCTTTTAGCTTTCCTTTCCATGTTCTCAACATCATTTTGGTTGGAGTTGAGATTACTGTAACTGCTCGACCTGTACAAATACAAATAGATATGGCAGAAGCGTCAGTTGTGTTTCCTTTGACAGGAAAAGTCTCCACTACTGTCGCTCTGGGAATTTAAAGTTCAGCTAACTGCTTCATTGGCAATGGCTAGGTTTATATCTTCAGGTTGGAATTCCAAATCTATCAGTAGACGGAGTCCAACAAATGATCCATGGGTCCCGTAAACTTTATACTATTGCTACAGTTGACAAATGAAGTATTCATTTGTTACAATACTAAGGTTTTATATAATATACAACGCACAACCAAAGTAGAGAGAACAGCTACAAGTTTATACCAGATTTACAACTCATGG